GAAGAAATGTGCTGACAAAATATGAAGAAAAACTCATTGTTATAAACAATACAGTAGTGTTTCTAAACCTCAGAGTTCACAATGTTGAAACACTTGGGTCAAATCCCAAGTTCCCATTTCAGCAACAAAGCTGGATGCCAAAATTCACTGCACTTAGAAGTGAGGAAACTGGAGTTTCACTTTCGACAGCAGTCAGTATTCTTTGTGTGATGCAGCCATGCAAAAGGTGAATGCAGTTTTGGGCTGCATCAGTAGAAGCATTAAGTGCAAGACACAGGAGGTGATAGTGCCTCTTTACTCAGCACTGATTAGGCCTCATCTAGAATAGTGTATGCAGTTATGGGTCATTTTAAGGAGCACTTGGAGAGTTAGGGTTCAAAGGCAGGCAACAAAGATGATCAAGGACTTGGAAGGCAAGCCATAAGAGGAGAGGCTGAAGGAAGCATTAGGGGTGTGAGAAACAGCATCGTTCTGCTCGACTTCTCTTTCGACGGAACAGCGTTTCATTTTGAGTTTTGTTTTGAAAGTACTGTTCCGTTTCATTTAATTGAAACTGTTTTGCTGTTTTGATGCTGTTTCGACATTTTGCCCAGCTAGCGCCAGGAAGAGAGGTGCTGCTGCTGGCCCCAGCCGGCAGCACCAGCCTCCTGTAATCTGGCAGGCAGATTGGGGCTGCACCCCCTGGAAGAGTCTGGCACAGCCCCCGCAGCCTTTCCAGGAACGCGGGCAAGCCCCCAATCTGCCTGCTAGATCACAGGGCCAGGGCAGCACCAATCTCCCCAGCCGGAAGCACCAGCCTCCTGTGATCCGGCAGGCCGATCAGGGCCCCCCTGCACCCCTGGGAGTGCTGCGGGACTCTGCCAACTCCTCCTGGGGTTGCGGGGGGCCCTGGGGATCACAGGAGGCTGCTTCTGCTGCCTGGGATGGTGCTGGGCGCAGCCCACACCCAGCACCAGGAAGATCAGTGCTGCCACTGGCCCCAGCCTCCTGTCATCCAGCAGGAGCAGCCTCCTGTGATCTGGCAGCCTGATCAGGGCCCCCTGCACCGCCAGGAGGACTTGGCAGAGCTCTGCAGCCCTCCCGGGAGTGTGGTGGGGCCCTGATCGGCCTGCCAGGTCACAGGAGGCTGGTGCTTCCGGCTGGGTACAGCCCAAGCCGGGAAGATCGGAGCTGCCCCAGCCAGCAGCACCCACCTCCTGTGATCTAGCAGGCAGATTGGGGGCTTGCAATCTTGGCATCCTGCTTTGTTGATGTACTGGAGACTTTAGGATATGACCAAAGGGCTTCAGCTTTGTAAACTGAGGTTGAGAAACATTACTGTATTGTATCGTTCATAAAAACAGGATTTCCTTTATATTTTGTCATGACGCATTCTTTTGAATTCTTATCCATGTTACATAAATGGACCCAAATACTGTGGCAGCACCAGCGTCCTGTCATCTGGCAGGCCGATTGGGGCCCCCATGCTACTGGGACAAATCCGGCATAGCCCCCAAAGCCCTCCCTGGGGTGCGAGCAAACCCCGATCTGACTGCCAGATCACAGGAGGCTGGTGCTGCCGTCTGGGGCCAGGGCAGCACCGACTGATCTTCCCAGCTTGGGCTACACCCAGCCAGCAGCACCAGCCTCCTGTGATCCAGCAGGCAGATCGGGGCCCCCTGCACCCCCGGTAATAGTCAGGAGAGACCTGTAGCCCTCCCGGGGTGTAGGGAGGCCCCAGTTGGCCTGCCGGATCACAGGAGGCTGCTTCTGCCACCTGGGATGGTGCTGGGCACACCCAGCACCAGGAAGATCGGTGCTGCCACTGGCCCCAGCCGGCAGCACCAGCCTCCTGCCATCCGGCAGGCAGGTTGGGGCCCTCCTGTAGCACCTGCAAGATGCTCCTGGGGCAGACTGCTCCTGGGGATGCAAGCCCCCAATCTGCCTCCCAAATCACAGGAGGCTGGTGCTGCCACCTGGGGCCATTGGCAGGCAGCCCTGGACATATCAGCTCATGCAGGGACCCACCCCACCCCCCACCCCCCGTCCTAGCTGATATGTCTTGGGCCCCACACCAGAGCCCAGCCCAAGGATACCTATTTTATGATTTAAATTAATGTATTTGGAGCATTTAAATGTCAACAGTAATAAGAATGATTTCAAACATGCAGAAAAGTTTGAGGGCAGTCTATAAAATCATTCAGGGCCAGATGCAGAAACATATTTGGGCACCTAAACTCCCATTAAAATGAATTGATTAGTCCAATATCTTGCTTTTGGTGGTAGACAGTGCCTGATAAATCAGAGAAAAAATGACCACTTCTATTGTGCAAAACTACAGACTGAGATCTCTTCTGATTTTGCCAGCAAAAAGCTAACACTATTTGGCATAGGGCTCAATATTCTTAAAAACATTTTCATTATAAAATGGCAATATCTGAATTTTGCATAAGCTTATTGAATTTGTAAGGATGATATGTTTCCTTTTGATAAGAGTTCATAAAAATCCTTTTGCATGTGTGGGTTTATTGAATGCTGTTTACTTATCAAGTCAAACATTCTGTCTGTGAACTAAAAGGAAAAGGCAAGGAACCAAACATGAATATAAATAAATTGTGTGGGAGTTTTGAAAAGACCTCCCCTTTATAGAAGAATCACTGCGTTCTAATTCTGAAACTCTGAATAGTGACTTGTGACAGGACCACGATAAATCCCAGCTACCTTCCTCGGCAGTCCCTCGCAATCAAGGATGGTTGTCTTCCATGATCATCTTATCTGTGTGTTCAAAGATATCTGATGCGGCTGATCCAGAATTGGCAGACTCTGCTGCAACTCAGGCATGTTTCCACATGGGGTGGGTGGCTCCAGATTCTTGATTTGGTCCATGACGCACTATTTCTGTCACTCCCATTTTTCCAGCTCCTGTTGTCAACGTAAGATTTCACAGTATGGAGATCCTTGCAGCAGACTTGTCCTCCATTTGGGATGATCTTAGGTGATAGTCTCCCACGAGTTCATGTTGATATTACAGTTTTTCAGTTTGGCCTTGAAGATGGCCTTGAAGCACTTTCTGTGCCCTCATCTTAAGCATATGCCTTGACTGAACTGGGAGAATAAAACTTGCTTTGGGAGTCTGGAGTTGGCCATCTGGATGATGTGGCTGGCCCATCAAAGTTGATGTTGGATAATCATCGCTTGATGCTCATGGTATTTGTTTGTGAGAGGACACTAATGTTGGCTGTTTATGGAAGAATCACTAAATTCTAACTCTGAAACTCTAAATATTGACACGTGAAAGGACCATGACAAACCCCACCTACCATCATGTGTTCAGCTGAGGCCGTTACCTGGGGATATTGCAGGTGGCGACAAACAGAACCTTACTGGTTAGCTATGATCTAGTTAATCACAGCAACCTGATGTTACGTTTTCAAGGCAAGCAAATGGCCCGTCTATGGTAAAATTGTGTGCTTTTGTTATAAATAAAACTTAATTTATAACCAGTCTGATTTTATAGGAAGAAGACTTTTAAGTAGTGTCAAACTGCTAATGTGAATCTCATGGGTGTCTGGAATGCTGGGTTAGCAAAACCAAGTATTTAAGTGATTTTTATTTTTTGTGTGTAGCTGTCTTTTAGTATTATGGCTACTTCTATAAACCTCCTTCTAATCATGTACTATATATGCTGTTCTGCAGAGAGAGGCTTTTTAAGAGTTCTGGACCAGACTAGATAGATTAATTTTTAATCTGATCTTTATGAGTGGCAGATTTTCTTTAAAGATTAATTTTAAAGATTAATCTATCTAGTCTAGTCCAGAACTCTTAAAGACAATGGGGTTTCAGGGTCTTAAACTGATAAAGAACGCTTCAAGTGTGAGTAACATCTTTCAGACTGTTCACTGCTGCCCTGATAAAAGACTAATTTAGTCTGTCAATTAGTTGTGCATCTATCACCAGCCTATCTGAATTCAGTGCATATAAAAAGAAGCATTTGTTTATGAAATAAGATTACATGACTTTGATTGGGAAAAGGTTGTGCTATAACATAGTTTGGGTTTTTATGTTAGTCAACTTAACTATTTAACACTTTGCCACCCTAATCAACAGCACAGTGTATTCTAATTCACAGTTCTGTGTGTGTGGAAAGCTCGCTGTAACCATGAATATATTTTTATACATTCTGTTTTCTGTACCAAGTTACAAAACTGAATTTATCCTTGATTACTACCTGAATAGTAGTTCATCAAGGTTGCTTTCATTTTTATACTTGAACATCCAACTTATTTTAAAACCTGTTAGTTTCTAAACATCCTATTTTTGATTGGGCATCTGTTTACTGATTGTTCTGAGCACAATTTTTTTTTATAAGGATCACCAAGGGAAATCTATACTCCCACAGGGCAGTCAGGTATTCTTTCTGACTAGTTAAAGTTGGTAATAAGTTTGACACATTTCTTAGTCATAAATAGCAGTCCTTTTTTTCTTATGGCAAATGGTCTTACAAAAACCTTAAAAAACAAAAAAAGCCACCCTGCCCCTTTTACAGAGCATGCATAACACAGTAGGAATTAAGAATCTGATGTGTACAACCTGAGCATCCACTGTTCCACCATAAACTCCTATTCTTGACAGAAGTAGTTGATTCTATTTGTGATAGAATTTGGTCCACTATTGAGAGATGGAGGGATACTACAATGTAAAATGAAACTTAAAATGCACCAGAATTATTTATTTAGGGAGGGAGAGAGAGAGAGACAGAGAGAGGGAGAGAAGAACAATATTACAAAGTAATCTGTGATTTTATTTTCTTCAGGACCAGTCTAACTTCTAATGTGAATCAGGATTTTATTTTTCTCAGCATCTTTGCTTTTTGAAAGCCAGTGCTTAAAAAAAACTCTTCAGATGAATTGCCTACTTTCAGTTAAATTACCTACAGTGTCACTTTCAAGATAGAATAGGGTGTGAACAGGAGTCTTTAAAATGAAAACAGTAAATCATATAACCTGTTTATCTCTTTACAGTTCTCCTCCAGTTTTTTGCTGAATAAAACTTTCAAGACCTATTTCAGATTGTGAATAAAAAGGATCATTTACATTCCTGGAAAATGTCAAATAGACAGAACTGTGACTCTGGCTCTTTGAGTCCACTTGAACTGTATGAAAGGGTGACTACACAAGGAGATAAAGTCAGATCACTTAAAGCAGCAGAAGCACCAAAGGTATGTTTATTTCATTTCTTGAATTGTCCCTTGTGCAGCTTAGGTCTCTCGTAACAGCGCTGAAAATAAAGTGATGGTTTGAGATGTATTTTGCATTGCCATAATAAAAAAATCTTTCTGTTTTTAAAAATATTTGTGGTGTTGAATTTCAGTCAACATGACTGAAACTCAGTATTAATGAACTACTGATCCTGAAGGAAGGACTGAAAGTGACTAGAATGGAAATCTGCTCTCAGTTCTGCCACTAAGCAACTTGCTTTGTAACTTTAGTCCAGTTTTCTCAACTTTAAAATGCGGATAACAATACCTTCTAACTTCTGTGAGAATCTTGGATAAAACACACTTTATTATCATACCCATGAATTGGTGTGTGTGTGTGCGCGCACATGCATACATGCATGCGCATGGACAATAAATAGACTCCTAGTTTGATAGGAATCAGTCATCACTTTTCAGTCCACCTTTGTGGGATCAACAAGGTGCCAGATCCTGCCCTCTGTTTGTATGCAGATAGTGTTCATTTCCATATAAATTGTACATATGAAAAAGTTACAGGATTTGGGATCCCAATATGGTTTCAGGTTTTTTTTTTTAATTGATAAAAAGTCTTAGTCCCTGGGATTTTATGTGTATATGAATAGTTCCAATAACTTTCTCTTATGTAAAGCAGGGATGTCAAAGATATTGTCCACGGGACTGGAAGTTTGATGGTGGGACAAGCAGTGGCAGTGTTACTTGCTGCAGCAATTAACACAGGCACTGCTCACCCCACTGCCAAATTTATGACCCTGCAGACTACCTTCTCACTCCAGATCTGTTCCATGGGGAGTTCTACACTTCCTTTCCAGCCCATAGGAGCCAAATAAGTTTGACACCCCAGTATAGAACATAACTAGGTAAGTCATAAAGAAGTCATTTAGGTTCACCAAGATCACTTGCAAAGAAAAATGAATTAATGTTTTAAGGTGAACTACTACAAGAGTATTTTTAACATAATATCCTGAAGCATTCTCATCCAAGCATGTCTAAGAATTTTGTATGTCAGGAAGTTGAGCTTCATCAGTCCCTTCAAGGTAGGTAAATATCCTTGTTCTTGTTTTATAAATGGAAAACCAAGCCACAGAGAGGTTAAGCAACTTGCCCAAAGTTAGTAAGTTTTTATCATTTGTGTGTGAAAAATGCTCAGAAACTGTCATCATTTCCATTTCCTCCTTCATGGTCCTTCATCCTGCAGATACATAAGCAAAAAGCTAACTTAAATGCTTGTAGTCCCATTGAAGTAAGTGTGTGTGTGTGTGTGTATGTATGTGTGTGTGTATATATATATATATATATA